AAATTGTCTAATCAATCTAGTGAGTAGCACAACTTATCAAACTAAGTCATTAACCATTCAATAAACTCACAATTAATATACACACAAAAATATAGATAAATGTACTACTTGAACTCATAAGCATGGATCATCAAACAACAAAAATGAATTGTCTATCTATCTAGGAATTTAAAGCAACTACACTGCAACTATGCTAATGACAAGGAAATTAAACTAATTAAGTTAATGAAGTAGTACAATCCATTAAGAAATAAGCATGATCCATCAAACAAACCACAAGAGGAATCAATTAAGCACCATGCTTTGACCATCATTAGATTTATAGTTTCAACACACAAACATGCATTAAATTCATAAAACCTAGTATAAGCACATGACCATTCATTCTAGTATACATAGGCATATGGATAGAAATTAAAGATCAATTGGAAGAATTAATCCATACAAATCATGTAAAAACTCAAGATCTATATAAAATCATGGTCAAAACATTATTTACAATATAAATCCCCCAAAACTACAAAATACTAAGTTTAGGAAGCAAGCCTATGGGCTATCTCTAGCCCTAAGAGAGGGATTTAACCACTCATGGTAGGTGTTATCCAACCCTCAAAGGCTATCTGCGATGTAGGTACCATCTTCTTCCTCTTTGCTTTGCTCCAAAAACCCTAGTTCTAGAGAGAAAAATATCTAATAGCTATGTCTAATATTGTAACTAGAGGAACAATTCTTGGAACTCAAATTGGAACCCTATACAAATTGGTTCATTTAATTTAAATACATGCCTCTTTGAGTAGGCAACAAGTCAGAAAATAGGCATTTAATTGGTGCAAACTCGCAGTTACAAAAGTTGGTGGAGTTTGGGCGCGCTCAGGAATTAGACAGCTCATTACCAGCTGGGGCTTTGATGGATCGAAGCTGTCTTTGATCGATTGGAACTTACTTCGATCAATCGAAGATGACGTGGCATAAAATATCTTGACAACTGGTAACCTTATCCACTGAGCTGGCACCACTTTAATTTTGATCGATTGTAGATATCTTCGATCGATCATGGCTTTCTTCGATCGATCGAAGCTTGAACAGTGCAGTTTTTCTGACTTCTTCTGAACTTTCTTCTTAACTCCAAAAAGGAGTTAAAAAGACTCTTTTTAGCTTGTTTGAACTTTATTAACATGAAATAGACAAAAACACAAATTAGAACTAAAATGGGGAAGTAAGATAGATGAATGGGCTAAAATACCCTAGCTTAGGTGCTAAAATGTATCACATTTGATCGCTTATCACACCCCCAAACTTAGATATTGCTAGTCCTTAGCAATGAACTACAAAGAAAAGAAAAAAACAACAACTATATAACTATAAATTAGAAAGTAATGAAAGGATAACGCCACTTTCATAGGGAACATGATTGCATTTAGCATTTACGACAAACATTAAGCTCTTTTCCACTAAAGTGGCACCAACATACAAAACAAACATTGGGAGAAAACTACTTCAAGTATGTAATTTTTCAACCATTTCCAAGCAACTCTCCAAAATTTCAATAAGTAAGCAAGTATGGTCCTCCACACATCAAGAAAATGATCAAGCAAATCAAAACAACTCTATAATCCTTTTTAAGTGAACTGACATCAAATATATTGCTATCTAAGCTAACTAATGAAATGATCACATTTGTCCTCAAATTAGCACACAAATATAGTACCAATCATCCAGACAAAGATTGAACCTTTTATTAAAGTTTTATTTAACTAGGTGCACTTATTCTTTTCACTAGATTATTTTTTTTTATATTTTTTTAGGATCAAAGATGAAAGCATGGTACAATATAGTGATCTCTTAAGCTTTCTAGAAGATTCATTAGGCAAGCATTATGTTAATGACTCCCAAATCGGACGGCTTTAAGGCACTAGGTGTAGAGACACCCCTAAGGACTTACAAACTCAAATCAACTAGGTTACAAATCAAAACAACCTCCATTTAATCACCTTCTATTCCTCACATTTGGTAAGAAGTCCTCATAAGTCCTCACTTTATTTGCTTTTGCAAATTTCCATTTTTTTTTTTTTTTTTTTTTTAACCTAGAGTTTGGGCCCTCCACCTTTTGGCGTGAGAAATTCAATGCTTGATGAGGCTAGAATCTCGGCTACTTAGTGAAAAGGGTTTGTTATCCACCCTTGTCAAGAATGAAAGTTTTCAAAGCACTACTAGCTCAATTGGGATACAACCAAATCAATAATCAACAAAGTATGTATCCCATAAATGAATGCTAGTGTGCGACTAGCTCAATTGGGATATAACCAAATCAAGAATCCTAGAGTGAATTTCAAAACAATCACAAAATCAAGATGATGTGGACCACAAATGCAAGTAAGATGTCAATCTTTCAAAAAATTTACTTCTAAATGGCATCCACAAGGCATACAAGGAGTATTAGACTCTCAAGTCAAACAATTTTTAAATTCTAAATATCATGGTCTCTAAAAGATCAAAATTATAGCTAAAAACTCTCAAATCATACCACATGTATAGAAACTAAGTGCGGCATGTAAAATATGCTAACACACCTTCAAACTAAATCTGTGCATTGTTCTCAATGTACCAAGAAGCAACAGATAATGGAAAGAGTATACCAAATGGGTGTAGCAAATAGGACCCAGCAACAGAAGCTTAGCATTGGAAGGTGCACCCCCAAACTTAGATTCCAACAACCTGTCTGAAAAATAGTCACACTAGCAACTGTCAAAGCATATGCATCGATAATCTAAATAAGAGATGAAATGGAGAACTGAGCAAAAATCCATGGCATAAAGCAATATAAAGCTCAGAATATTCAAAACCAAAATCAATGATATTATAAGTCCAAAAATCCATAGATGAAAATAAATCCAAAACCAATATCCAAAAACCATATGTATCATGTGTAGTACAAAATATCATAAACAAGTGTAAAGTATCAAAACAGTGCAAAAATATCCCAGAAATAGCAGTGTATCAAAAATGTATCATAGCATGGAAAAGTAATAGAGAGAGAGAATTGTGGAATTAGGGTGCAACATCTGGCGCAAACATGTCAGCAATGATCTGAAGCATACCTGACATCTCCCGGCTATGTCGAGGCAGAGATGTCTGAATGTCTGTCCTCAACTCTGAAATGTCTCTCCTCGCATCTGCTACAACTCTAGTCAAATCGTCAGATCGCCTGGCTAAGTCGTCATGCCTCCTAGCCAAATCATCGTGCCGCCTCATCATATCATCATGCCGTTCCGCTATATCAGCTTTGAAATAAGTAAAAAACTGAATGCAGTTGTGTTAGATCAGCTTTGTAGCTGTAATATGAACTGGCATGGTGGGAGTGAGTGTCGGCCTGTGGCATCGGCTCTGTAGGAGGGACGTGATGGGCCGGCCTGCTGAGATGGATGGGGAAGAAGAAGCTGACCCGGCTGCAACGTGAATATGGAAGTAGTAGTATGCTGCCTCTGTCTGGGTCTGTAGGAAGAAGGTGATCCCTGGGATCCCTCGGCTGCGTCCTCCTCGACTCTCTATTGAGCTCGCTCCCTTTTCTGCTCTCTATTATTTTTGTTCTTTGTGCAAGCATTGAACGTCTTGTTCCACTACTTCATGTCATAAACCCTTTTGTCTCTCTACTTTGTAGACTCTGCAATCTTAGCTGGGTCAAAAGAATAGCCTTGGTCAATTAATAGCTGTGTAATCAAATGGCCAAATGGTAAAGGCCAAGCATCAGCTCTGGAATTGTGCTTGAAGATCAGATTTTCCCAGTACTTGTGAATAATCTCCCAGATGAGAGCAGGGAATGGAGATCCAGCAGACCTGACTCAAACAGTATAGAGCCTGTAGAACCCCTCCTGCCTCTATGTACCATGGCTTGAAGGAAAGGCATTGAGATGCAGCACAGAATCTAAGAACCAGTAACGGGGATCAATATCAACCCGGTCTGCAAATATATTGCCTTTGATGGCAGCCTGTGGAGAGAGTGTAGCAACCATGGTCATCTCAGAAGGGTAAGCTGGAATGATGGGGTATAGTGGATCCTCAGAGTCAGCGACTAATGGAGAGAGATGGGGGTATCGGCAGGCAGCAGCTATGGTAGGGATAGAAATGTCAATATCCTGACCGTCTATAGTCGTATGCATCAACTGATGGTCATCCTCAACCATCCGGAGGTGCTCGAAAAATAAAGTAACTAACCGGGGATATACAGTAATGTCTGCCAGAGTCATAATAGCATCGATGCCCCTGCACGTGAGCTCATCATAAGACCACTGTGTCTGTTCCAACCCAGCGAATAACTTTCGGTTGAATCTGAACTCTGGCTCTAATTTCCTGCCGGAGAAAGAGAGAGAAGGCACTATTTTGATAATGGGACCCTATGCCTCCATGAAAGATGGCTCGTATGATGCAGTATGTGACGACGCTAGTTTTTCAAGCCAGTGCGTCCTGCGATGAACCGAAGATTGACCCACTAACGGATCCGAATGCGGAAGCGAAAACAGAAAATAAGATTCTAAGAAGTCAAAGTGACCTTCCATGAGGTCGTGGAACTCAATGAGAACTGATGCGGAAGTAGAAGATCGAAAATATGACAAATAAGCCCCTAGGGGCAAAATAGTCATTTTACATAGAAATGACATCCCTAGAATATATATTATTTCCGAGACACATTCATAACTTCTCGTGAAGTCATGGAACTCAAAAGAAAGTAGCGAAAACAAATTAAAAGAAAACTGGACAAATTTAACCCCAAGGGCAAAATATGACCTCTCAATGGCCAAAAGTGCCTTAAAATGCAATAAATGAAACAAAAATGCAAAACCTATAACAAAATGGTGTTTGGCCCTTGGTCACACCTCATACATGATCATAGAGAGCCTATAAATGAAAAAGAATGAAATTCTCACACCCGATGCAAACATGGTGAAGCAAGGACTTAACATTTTTCAATATTTTCATAGCATTTCATGAAATCAAGAATTACATAAGATGCAATATAAATGTCATTGGCCTCCGGCCTCATCTCACACAAGTCAAATACATCGTAAAAGGTGTACATATATGGAATCAAAGATACAAGTTTTGACATACAAAGGTACAAATAAGATTTCATGCCAACATTTCATGAAAATGATACTTCAAGTTTACGAAACTTTCATGGCTTAGTGTGCATCCTGAATCAAGGTCCCTGTACCTGAAAAATATCCCCACTACGTGGGTGAGTAACATAAAGCTATTTATAGGAAATGAGCGTGCATTGACCTAACGTTTTACAAAGTTATTATATTAACTTGAAACAATTCAAAAGGGTCATGCCGCCTAACGTCTATGTCAAAGGTGAGATTCAGGGAGCATCCTAAGCTACCTTAAAATATTTCTAGCATAAATCACATCATTCATGCAATTCAAATAATATAGAAGCATGCTATACAAAACAACAAGATATAGATCTTCAAAGCCATTGACTTAAAATCTAAAATACGAAAACAACTAAAGTGGGTCATGCCACCTAACGGCTATGTTCCAAATGAATCTATAGGATCATTCCTAAGTTGCACTTGAACAATATAACATAGATGTACTTAACAATATCAAAAACTTACAATGATTCATTAGAAATCATAATGCCTGAATGTACTTAACAACATCAAAAACCTGTAATGATTCATTAGAAATCATAATGCCTGAATGTACTTAATAACATTAAATCGCCAATAACCAAAACCACAAGTCACAATTAAACATTGGTTGCCAATTTGGAATTGAATGCGAAATCAAGTAGTGGAAGACTTGGATATCAAATCTTGGATAAAGGCAAGACCTAAACGGTTATTCCGGGCATTAACCCACTGGGAATACCACCCTAAGTGTGCACTATAAATGGAGAGAACTCATACCTCCCGCACTAGAGCCAAACTCTAGCCATGCCTCTGTAACAATGTCTCAAGTGACTCCAAAATAAATAAGTTAACAACTTATATACGAAATATATATAAAGCATGAAACTACATTCTATGCATAAGTAGGTTGTAATCACATAGCTCATGCTCTAAATCCACAACTACTATAGGATGACAAATGTCGAATCTTCAGAACACGATTCATTACGCGCTATAATAACATCACATATCGAATCTTCAGTGTGCAATTCGTTACACGATATAACAATATAATTTAATATTGAAAGCATAAACTGAAGAATCTAACACAAGTCTGAAATGATGCTTTAAACATCCCATCAATGTCAACTCATGATTAAATCAATAATGCGATAGAAACGGAAATTAATTAAGTATATTAATTAATTTATCTAAGTTTCAATTCTCAACCAAATGGTCCCTAATTAACACATGTCATACAACATAACTTGATCATTACATATATCAATTCAAAAACTTAATTAGGCCATTGAAACAACAAAATGGAATTTAATTAAATCATGATAATCAAATCCCTAATTTCTAAAATGACATCAAATGGTCCTAAATTAACATACGCTAGTATAAAAGTCCTAGTCATCACAATTATCAAATTAAAAACTTGATTAAGCCAATGGAACCCTTAAATTGATTTTAATTAATCCTTTTAATTAAAATCTCTAGATTTTCAAACTCAACCAAATGCTCTCAAATTAAAGTATGTTAAAGAGTATGTCAAGACTTAATTTAAAAGCATATCATAAATTAATCATGCAAGGCACGGCCATGGGAATTAATCTTTCATAAAAGAAAAATATTAAATAAAAGTTGCAATTCTTATTCAAATGACCCAAATTTAATATATGTTAACAAATATATTAAGGCCTAATTTATCGTCATGCCACAATTCAATTCTAAGCTATATACATCTTTGTAAATTTAATCTTATACAAAGAATTAAATATTACTAATTTTATAGATTTGATACAAGGCATGCAAACAAGTTGTATAATTATGGAAAACACTCAATACAACACATTCAAAATCCTAAAACATCCCTTATCTCAATTGGAATGAAAATCCCAATTACCACCGAAATGAAATCGCCCCAAATTTTTGCTCTGCAAGACAGATTTTTCAGCTTGTTACCTTCAACTTGGAAAATTCATAAAAAACTCAATTGTAATCCAAATTGAATGAATCCAAAGCCCAATGAAAGTTTAAACACTATAATTTGATAATATCAATTTAGTTTAATAAAATATTTTCCCAATTGAAACAGTTTTGATCCACAATTTCGAAATAAATTCTACCAAGAAAACACATTTTCAGCCTGTAGCTTCCAACTTTGAAAATTTATGAAAAAATTCATTTGACATCCAAATTGGGTAAACTTAATTTATTTTGGAAGTAAACATATGAGAGTGTAAAACTGAAAATTTAAGCCATGATCCAATGTCAAAATATTAGTGAAATAAATTATCTAAAAATATGTTTTCCAACTGCAACAAAAACATGGACAGCAGATAGTTTCGGATTTTTAATAAAATTTAGACATGCTCTAAAATCGTGAAAAAATTCTGAGTAGTGTAAGACCCATGGGGGAAGTTCCATTAAAAATTTCAAGGCAATTGAAGTACCACAGTTCCATATAAAAATTCATTTCCGGACTAGATAAGGAAAAGATTTCAATTTCCAACAACTAGCTTGCAACTTCAAAAATTCATAACTAATTCATTTTAAATTCAAAGTATATGAAACCAAAACTAAATGAAAGCTAATTGATTATACTTTCATATTCTATATTTAATTTGGCAAGATTAAGTTCAAGTTAAAACAGTTTAAGGGGAATATAAATCCTTGTCTTCTATGCATGGAAAATACTCAATAGTGACATAAAAATAATTCAAAATCATAGATCAATACCTCACTAGAGAATTGAATATCTAGATACCAAAGCAAAACTATGAGTTATGTTAAATCCTTCAAGGGTTTTGTAGAGGAGAGTGAGGAAACTTTTACCTCCTAAGGTTTAAGATCTAAGGTGAGTGGAAGGAGGCCAAAATGATGGAACAAGCTCTTGACCAAGCTTTTCTTCAATTGTGGCTAGGTTAGGGTTTTGAAGAACAAGTGTAATGAAAGAGATAAAGTGAAAAAAATGGTGAGTGGAGGATCTAATAATCGTTCACTCACTAGGTGTTCTTACACTACCTCTCATACACACTAATGCAAGACTCATTTTGGTGCCTACACTTGTCACTAATCCATGGCTCCTTCCTAGGCTTAATCCTAAGCCTACAATTGTCAATCATCTAAGCTAACAAATGCACCAATCCTAGGCCAATAAGTGGGCGAATCTCTACCTTCTATGTGTTACAAGATTATGCTTCCAAGTTTTTCCACCCCAATGCCAACAAGTGGCACCATGAGAATGTGACACTTGTTACATTTTTCAAAAATTGCAAAAATGTCCTTTTTCAAAATATCTTCCAAATTAAATTGCAAAAAGGTCCCTAAGACGAATGCAAAGTTGGAATAAAGTAACAAGTCGCAAAAAGTAAAAATGTAGATATCATGGAAAATAAATATCATGGATGAATGCAAAGTCGGAATAAAATCTGAACACAAAAAGTGAGGTTATGCAATGAAAAAGGAAACTAGGAAAAGACAAAATAGGGAAAAAGACGAAAAGTGAATAGTGTCAAAAAACGAAAAATGTGGGAATGACTCGGTTCTCAAAGGAAGTTGTCAATCCAATGGAAAGAGTCTCAAAAACCATTTCCGAACACTCGAGATGACATTAAGTGATGAGAAACCAAACATCGAAAGGAAAAGACAATGGAAAAAAATTTATCCGTAAAATTTGAGGAAAAAAGAAAGGAAGAAAATGACCGAGTCATTTCATAGTAGCCTCAAATGATGAAGATTACTCCTTTGCTGGAGATGGAGGAGGCTGTGTAGCTTTGGCTACGCCCTTTCGGGCAAGAGTCTTTTGCCTACGCTACATCTGCAAAAGCAACAAATATAAATCAGTTCACAGGTATAAAAGTAGGCAAGCATCTGATTAGAAAACACAAAGCATGCCTAAATCAAGTAGAAACAGAAAATAGACATATAGGATAATGCTTGTGCAAGAAGTGATCAAGAAAGCTTCAAGAATAGCATTCAACATGTTTCGATAAGACAAGAATAGATCATGGCACAATAAGCAATCTCAGGTACGCAAAACAATGCAATGATAGCATAGAGGGCAGAAAAGTCACTTTTGGAAACATATGAGCAAAAATTGGATCAAAAGGACAAGAATAGGATGTGATGTGTATAAAGGATGTAACGTGCATTCGCAAACTTAAAACTTAAGAAGATTCTGCAATTGCATGGCAAGTAGACCCTAGGATGACATCGTATCAATTCCTAAGCAAGAATGCCTACAAATTCAACATTTAAGGCCAATGGAGCAAGGATAACATAGATACAATCATAGCAACTATCTACTTAGGACTCGAGAAACATGTATATCATGAAATAAACACTAAGTGAATTACACGGTTGCAAAACACTTCAATCCTAAGCATTTTATGATACACAAATTCAAAAATGGATCCTGGACATGGTATGTAACTATATGGCATGTATATGAATGATGCACAAATATTAGTCAAAGAAATATCCAATCATCTATTTCAACAAAATCAACATCCTATGATCACTCATGGCTCGTGACCCCCTTTAAAGCTTAAATGAAACAAATATTGGTCAAAAACTGAGAATAACAAGAAACTTACCCTTTTCTGAATCAAAATCATGACTGGCAAAGAACCTCAGTCTCAAGCTCTTACTAGCTTTCAAGAATGGATCATAAGTATATAATCAAGCAAATGGCATTTTAAAAGATCAACGACAAGACAACCTACCCCCAAACTTTTCTCAAATTGCATTTAAAATTCAAATTAAGCTCAAGAATTGAATGCTAAGGCCAAAGAACAACAATGACATCCCAAACATGCATTTTAAACTCTAAACATTCATTTCTCTCCTCTAAACTTATTCAAAGATCAATGCCAAGAAGATTTATTCAAAATATGCACACAAACTTTCAAAACCATCAATGTGACAAAAGTGTGTGCAAAATGTGTATATACAAGCAACAAGTTGCAGATTATTCCAAAGTGCACACAATTATTCAAAGAAGATCACATTTGACAATTTTTTCAAGCTTATGAAGCAACATTGGAACATTTGACTTCAAAAAGTTCGGTTTGGAATGGCAATTTCAACACATCTTTCAAGAAAATTCAAAATCATGACAAGTGGAGTTAAAAATATCAAACTTATGCCCTAGCATGGAAAGAATCAAGAATTGAGTATAAACAAGTTCAATAGCACTTAGGACATGCATTTGGATGGAAAGACATCAAATGAAACAAGTATTATCTCACTTAAGGGTATTTTGGTCAACTTTGGAAAATTTTAACATTTTTGGGGCCAAAATTGGAATTTTTTGAAAACTTTGAGGTCCAAACATTCATATGCATTGTAGATAAACATCATAACAAGAATCATGCATTGAATATTCTACAAAGGAATGAATTAAGCAACTCGACTTCTCATTTTCAAAACAAAGTTCAAAAATTCTTTTTTATATTTTGAAAACCAACAAGTGTGATCACAAAGGCATTTTAAACATTCAAGAATCGATTCACCAAACAATGTACCTTAACCATGAGCAAGAGTCAATTTAAGATAAAAAAAACTTTCAAAAAGGTCCATTTGAAATCACATTTATGCAATTTAAACATGATTTTACATTTTCAAATTTCAAAAGCACAAGTTTCAACTCAAGTCATGCTTGCATGCACTTAAAACAACTTAGAATCAAACAACATCCATGCATTTTTATACTTAATACGAACAAATGAAACAAGTTGGGAAGCACGCTCATCAATATTCAACTTCATATGCCATTTCAACTTTAAAATTTTCAAGAATTTTTCAAGTTCAAGAATTTTACAATTTCAATTCATTTCTTTCAAAATCAAAACCATTTTGACAATCAAGCTTCCATTTCAAATTACAAGCAAACATTTCCATTTCATACATTTAAATTCCAAATCCATTCAAGTTACAATCACACAACAACTTTCCAAATTTTATTTTTCTTTTTCAATCAATTCAATTCCAACTTTAAATCTCTTTTCCAATTTCCTTTTCAATTCAAGTTCACACAAATAAACCAAGTGCCATTAAAGAATGTAAAACCAAAATTTAAGTTCATTTTTACAAAAATCCGGCATGGGTTCCACTTAAAATATGCATTCACAAAAATTTTTAAGAAAGGCATACATATAAGCACATATACATTCAATCAAATTTCAACATTCAAAGTTTCATAAACAATCAATTTAAATTCTCAAACTCCATTCAACACGGCAAAAAGGACACCGCCCACAATCAAAATCCATATTCAAGTTTTTGCCCATTCTCCTTCTACACAACAAACTATATTCCATATTTTTCCATCCTCCTCAACACAAGGGTCATAGCCCACAATAATGAATATCACAGTCCATGGATTTAGTCCAATGGTTCCATTTTCAATCCATTATTTTTATTTTTATTTATATTTATTTCCATTTTTTTTATTTTGATTTTTCAATTTCATAGTCCATTTTCCATTTGAACAAATATGTATATACAAACATAAATTCAAATAAAAATAAAATAAAATTAAAAAATGCAATAATAAAAAGAAAAATTAAAATTAAATTCAAAGGAAAGGAAGAATCACATACCCGACCCGAAAATGGGAAAAGGAAATGGAGAAAGAGAGAGATTGGGGAAGAATCCACGAATTCTGGCTTAACCATGGTCGAAAGAGGTGACCGAAGTCTCGCTGAAGACTTGCCAAAAATTTCAGAGCGTCGCCGGTGATGAATCAAATCCTCCTTGGCCTGAATCGGCTAGAGAAGAGAGAAATAGAGGAAATCTGAGAGGGATTAGAGCGAGAAGAGAAAAAAACGAGCTTAGCCGAATGGCTAAAGCTTCTCGCCGTTTTGTATAGAGGACGGCGACGACCTTGGGGTTCATGGTGTTCACCGGAGTTGAGGGATGAAGGGAGAGATGGGTTGGTGCTTCGCCGGAGTTGAGTGAGAGATTAGGCGAAGGGAGAGATGAGGACTTGAGAGAGTTAAGAGATGAGGAGAGTTTGAGATTCAGGGAGAGAGAAGAGAGAAGGCCAAGAGTTTGTAAGAGGTAGAGAGAGAAAGAGAAAAGAAAGAAAAAAGAAAAGAAAAAGAAAGGGAAAAGGAGGAGAGAGAAACTGAAAAATGAATAAAAAAAATCTAAGGTTTGGAAACCCAACGGCAAAAGCAGTTTTCTCGAAATTTGAAAAGACGTAATCTCGATCAATCGAGGAGGTCTTCGATCGATAGAAAGGTATTTTGATCGATTGAATGGAAGATGGACAACTTGATTTTAAGAGCTTCGATCGATCCAAATGAACTTCGATCGATCGAAATGATGAGATCCTGAGCAATTTCCAAGGCAAAATGGGCATCTGCAGAATTCGATCGATCGAAGACAAGATGACACTGAAAGTGCAGGAAATGCAATAAACTACTCAGAAACTTAAATGATCAACTCGAAACATATCTAGACGATGCAGGTGATGAGTGCTCAAATCTGACGCATTTTAGCACCTAAGCGAGGGTATTTTAGTCCATTCATCTATCTTTATTTTCCCGTTTTAGTACTTATTTGTGTTTTTGTCTATTTCAGGTCAATAAGGTTCAAACGGGCTAAAAATGGTCTATTACAGCCTTTTTGGAGTTAAACAAAAGTTCTTAGCAGATTTCAGAAAAATTCGAAAGAAGGTAAAAAATGTTGAAAATTTGGATGGATCAAAGTTTCGATCGATCGAAGATTTCTTCGATCGATCAAAAATGTGCTTGCTGCAAGCTGTTTTATTCCCAGCCGCCTGAACTCTACCTACCACATAGTTACGGGATTAGATATTTTTGGGGCTGTATTTCTGACTTAGTGACTAAGAAAATGACTTTGTATTTAAAAGGAATTGAACCATTTTTGTAATCTATCTGATAGCTTTTTGTCTTCAATTTTATTAGATTGTAATTTTATTTTCTATCTCTAGAAAAGTTAGAGATTAGGGTTAGAAGAAAAGAGAAGAGTGGAGGCACCAAGAACACATCTCCAGATCTACGCACACTCTTTCTCTAGAATTCAACAAAGAAGAAGAGGAAGAAGATGGAGCCATGTTTGGGAAATGCCCTTGAGGGTTCCAAGATCACACCCACCTTCTCATGATTGGCTAAGCTTCTCCTTGGGGTTTGGATGAACCCCAAGCTTGTAAATTAAACCCTTTCTCTTGACTTTTTGAGGAATTTATCTTGTGATTAGTGCGATAGTCTTGTGAATAAAATGAATCTTGGTATATTTCTATAATTTCTATGGTTTAATTCTTCTTATTAATTCTCTAGTTTATTTATATGTCTATGTGTGATTAAATTGGGAATTATGTCTTATATGATTCATATGGTTTAATTCTTCCTATTGATTCTCTTTGTGATTACATGTTATCTTATGTGTGATTATTTGAGAATTGATCTCTACACTAGTTTCTCTATGTTGGTTGCATGTCTATGTGTGATTAATTAAGGATCTAGTGATGGCTATGCATGGTATTCATTGAATGGGTTTGTCAATTAATTTGATGGATTATTCTTATGCTTGATGGGTTGTTCTACAATTTAATTCATGTTTGTAGATAGGTAGACAATTTTTACTTGATTTGATATTCCATGGCTTATTGTTGCAAATTCCATGATTCTCTAGATTGATGTGTGCTATAATTGTGACTAGTTTGATGGGTCATGCTTAAAATTGATGTGTTGTGCTACACTTAGTTTATTTGTCGATTAGGTAGACGATTCATTATTTAATTTGATGGTCCATGTTTAATATTGCAATTGGTAGCCCATTTTGTTCACAATAATGTTTTCCCCAAATTAGTTGAAAGTGTGTGGTTTGGTGAACGAGCTTGGTGGCGATTCCAATGCACCCCAAGACCTCACTTCTCATCTCTTAAATCCCTATATCAAATTAGTTTATTTTAATTTCATTTTAATTAATTGAATTTTAGTGTAATCAAACAATCAATCTCTCCTTTGCAATCTTGTGATTCACTAGAGTTGAAGTTAAATTCCAAGACGTACAATCCCTTGAGATGATCCCTACTCACTCTTGCTACATTAGTAGTAGTGGTGGTAGTGGTTTTTATAAATTTAAACTTGACCTAAAAGGCTTTTCTTGAACCGCACATTCACTACATTATTTTGGCGTATACAAGCGGCCATCGTCAAATTTTGGTGCCGTTGCCGGAGATTAACGGTTTTGTTGGAATTAAACTAGACAATAGTGTTCATTTGATTGCTTCTTTTTTTAATTTTATTTTCCATTGTATATTCATTTCTCATTCTTGATATTATTTGTCAATTAGGTACTTGATTACAAGAAAGGCAATCATTGGATGTTAAAGCAATCATTGGAGCTTAAAGCTAGCATTAGAATTTAAAGTTGCTTAAAGACCTTTGTAAGCAATTCTTAGAACTCTTGTATTTTAAATGTGCACTTCTTTGTATGCTTGTGATAGCCCTTGTTGAGGCTAATTAAATTGCTTTATCTTTGTCCAAGCATCGGCCCATGTGGAGGCCAAATTTTTTCTTGCATTTGGATTTTAATTATGAATAGAGGATTATTTGATCCAAGTTTGGGAGGGGGGGGGGGGGGATTACATCCCTTCACCTCCTCCATCATATTTTAATCCTTATGAGATTGAGTCTAATGTTCAACATGCATCATTTTATTATGGATTTGATCACTCTTTTAATCCTCCTTGTGACTATTACCCTCCCCCATCATTTTATGAAGAACCACCTCCATTACCTTATTCACCCAAGTTTCAAGAAAAAGTGTTAGTTCTATTTGATGGGCTTAATTCACAAACTTAAGATATTAATTCACATTCCCAAATCTTAGCCAAGCTTGAAGCTTAAGTTGAGCAAATCGTAAGTATTCTTTCTCGTCAAGGGAGGAGGAAGAGGCAAATGAAAAAATGGCAAAAACTTCAATTTATATAGATGAGGATGATGAAAGTGAAGAGGAAGATGAGGCAAGTGAGCTAATAAAAAATGGCAAGAACTTCAATTTATATGGACGAGGATGATGAGAGTGAAGAGGAGGATGAGACAAGTGAGCTAATGCCTAGCACTCTATCTTGTATAGAGGAGGAAGTGGCAAGTGAGTTAGTGGCTAATCCAATAGAGCACAACATGATTAATGAGGACTTCTCATGTTTTGATCATAATTTGATTCCAGCCTTTGATACTTTAGAAAGTGAGGAAATGTTGACTACTATAGAGATAGGAGAGGAGGAGGAGGAACTTGTTGAAGAGGGCTTTCCTTCTATTATCTCCAAAGACCCTCTTGAGATATGCCTTTTTAAAATGTATAAAAATTGTGGTTTTGACCTTGAAAGCTTCAAAAATGAAGTGAACTCTCTAATGGACTCCTTAGCAAACTTGGAAGGTGAGGAGATGGTGATTATTGAGGAAGAAAAAAAGGATGAAGAGAGTGCAATTCTTATTAATCAAATTGAGTCTTTGAAAGACTTTGCCTTGCCAAGTGTAAGGCCGCTCAGTATTGATTTTATTTTCAAGGCCGTGGATGAAAAGAAACAAATTGCATCTTTCATAATTTCTTTTCAAGTCATTCTTTTGGAGGATGTTTATATTGTTGTAAGTGAGGCATTAAATGAGATAATGGAAAAAAAGGTCAATAAGGATGTTTCATATGCAGTTTTTGATACTTTCGACTAGTGAGTCGACCCAACGTCTTGCTAGAGACGTTAAATACTAGCATTCGTAAAGTTTCACAACTCTATTCCTTCCACATTTCTTTTTATTTTTTACTTCTTGTGGCATCTAGATATGTTCCATTGCACTTCATTGTCAAAAATTAGGTTTTAAAACCATATTCATGTATTTTGGGGCCTTAGAAAAATTTCTGCCTTTGAAAATTTTTCGAAATTCAGCAATTTGTGCCCAGGCAGTTCGATCAATCGAAGACTTTCTCGATCGATTAAAGCTTATTCTGATCGATTGAACATGGTTTCAATCGATCGAAAATAATTTCGATCGATCGAAATTGTGTCGAATTTTTTTTGATCCCAGACAATAATATTCATATTTTCGATCGATCATGGCCTAGCTCGATCGATTGAAGTAAATTTTGATTGATCGAGCACTATTTCAAAAAAAAAAAAAAAAAAAAAATTGCATCTCTTATTTCCTTGCATTTTTATTTCCTTGCACGTTTATTTGTTTTATTTTTGTGTGTGTACATACTTGTTATGTCTAAAAATAAAAAATAAAAATAAAAATTTTTAAAAAAAGTTTTTATTTTTATATTTCATTATTTTGTTCTTGCATCCTTTTTTACTTTTTGTTTTTCATTTCTTGCATTGTACATATTCTTTCATTGCATTTTACCTTTATTTTTATTTTTGTATTTTGTTCATGCATTTTATTATTTCATTTTCTTGCATTTTGTATATACTTGCTTTCATTAAATGAAAAATATAAAAAAATTTACCATTGTACCCTTATGTGTAGTCATGTTACTTTCATATTTTTTATTAGGCTTGATCTCATTTATTTCTTTCATCTTGTGCTATATTGCCTTAGAATGCTTGATTTACTTATCTTATCCCATTTGATATTTGATATGAGTTTGCTAGTGTGGTTATTTAAGTAGATTGTTGATTCCAAGTTTGGGGGTGCACTCTTTCCCAATGGATCACTATCGGGCTTTATGTCTTTGCCACCACGGTATATTCTTTCCATCTTTTCCATTATTCTCATTACACATTGAGGACAATGTGCGGTTTAAGTTTGGTGGTATGGTGACTTTGTTGCATTCTATTTAAAGTTTTGATCTTTAAATGCATGATTGAGATTTGAGATTGATGTTAGTTGTGATTTTGATCTTTTGAGGACCATGATATTTAGAATTTAAAAATTGTTTGACTTGAGAGTCCAATACTTCTTGTATGCCTTGTGGATGCCATTTAGGAGTAAATTTTTTGAAAGATTGATGTCTTGCTTGCATTTGTGGTCCACATCATCCTGATTTTATGATTGTTTTGAGATCCACTCTAGGATTCTACACCAGCATAGGCGCACACTAGCATTCATTTATGGGGTATATACTTTGTTGATTATTGAATTGGTTATATCCTAATTGAGCTAGTAGTGCATTGAAAGCTTTCATCTTGACAAAAGTGGGTAACAATCCATTTTCATTGAGTAGCCGGGATTTTAGCCTCATCAAGC